TGGTAAGTCTGGTCTGGTCTCTGAACAGCAGTGCTGGTAGAGATCCCACTGCTCACTGGACTCCCACCAGCCAACCAACTCACATCTGCAAAAGACACAGACTGACTGGACAGACAGACCAGAGAAGCTGTGTTGGACTGGAGCTCAGCACTGGATGGAGGGAAGACTGTCAGGACAGGAGGAGGGAGGCTGGAGCCTGAAAATACATGAAGGACATTCAGAAAACAACAACAACAAAAAGATAAATAAAAGACAGAAGGAAATTGGAAATGAAGTCATAAAACCAGAAGAAATCAAGAAGAGTCACTATGGAATAAACATAACATTTGTTATGAATTTAGAAGAAAACAACAACTATTGTACAATACTAAAGTATATGGATCCAACATATCATTTGAATTTCTTTTTGTGTTTTTACCAATTAAAATATGATTAGTTACTGTTTAACTTTGCATGTAAGATGTATTTGATTTAATTCTACACGTTTCTGCATAACATGTCAGCTAATGTGGGCAATTTTCTTTCATATCAAAGAAAAGTTCTAATCACTTCAAAGTCATTTTGAATTTTAGTAACAGTGTTAACTACTATTGAAGAAAGAGAAAATGGGCCTATGTATGTTTTTGAAATGCCAACCTAAATATAAATTAAAAGCAATAAGAACGGAAAAACAACATATTTCACACCATTTTCAGAGAACTGGTTTGATACCATTTCACATTTTTTAAACATGTAATTCATGTCTCCTGTATATGAGACAACCTGAAACTATTTCAGATTGTACAAAATTGTAAACAATTATGCTGAACAAGAAACATTTTGACTTAAGTAGTCATCATCAGATTTTTGCTCTCACTTGTTTTATGATCAGTTTAAAAGTACTTACTTGTCACAACCAGCTTGGTGCCTTGTCCGAATACCACAGTGATTCAGTTTGTATACATGGCTGTACAAAAACCTCCTGACAGTCACTGATGAGGGGAGAGGAACTGAAACATCCTGTGACTAACTTATACTGTCAACATCTTATTTCCTTCATCTATTCCTTCATGTCACTGTTTTGTGTAAGATTTAATAAAGTCCTGATTATTGGTCAGAGCTGTACTGTCTCTCAGTAAGATTTTGGCCACAGTCTGCTTCACTATGAACCAGCTTTCTTGGGAGAGTCTTCCCATGTCTGACAGGAACTCACTGCAGAGTCTCCTGTCTCTTCATGATTGATCATAGACAGTGTTGGGGAGTAACGGAATACATGTACCGCCGTTACGTATTTAAAATACAAAATATGAGTAACTGTATTCCGTTACAGTTACCG